TAATTCCGAATATGATGGAGCCCTGACCCTCGAATGAAGCTTCTAGGTGTTGCCATCATATAAATAATGACTACTATTAACACTTATTCCCTCCAACTTCAGGAAAAAAGATTAAATGAGGCAGAATTATTCCCAGGCATGGAGGTACCAGAAGTTTATCAAATAGTTTCTGGTAATCTCTACAGAAAACATACAGTTATTAACAATTTTGATATTGACTAAAGTGTCATTTACCTGCTACACCAAAATAGTCACATCACAGAAAAACACTGTAATAATTAGCAATAAGATGATAATCTTGTTGGCAGTCTCAGCAAAAACTCAAGTGCTGAATTGACCACTGAACTTAAACTACTCTCTCACATCTGGGCCTTCCCTGCACTATAGACTATTGGCATTACAACACGACGCAGCATGCCTGTAATCCTCCATGCATATACACAAAATTGCAATTACTAGTGCATGGGAGGTCTTATCATCATTGAGATTGCATTTACGCTGAACAGGAATAACAACTGTTCCCCACCTCCATGTTAACATGTATTGATGTAATGCTAGTGTAGATCGTACCTGGAGTGGTACTGAAGCAGTTTAATTGGTTTCACAATGCACTAGTTTCACAATGGTTTAATTGGTTTCACAATGCACTAGTTACTAAGTGGGCTGCCTGGTCTTTATTTATTTATTCTTGCAGTGCAGGATCATTTTCTGGCAGCTCCTCGCCTGTACAATCTGGGCTGTGTGCACATCTTAGATCTCACTGTGTTTACTTTTTTTCACCAGCATCCACTTTTGCATGATTGCTCTTCCAGTGTTAAGCTCCCCCCCCTCCACCCCCCCCCCCGGCAGCTTGGGGATCATCTTTCCGAAAGAAGATTGCTTTGGACTGGCCAAGGAACATATATAGGACATTGAGGAGATATAGTTTTAGCCATACTGAATTATCAAAAGTATGATTTATGAGCAGGTGTCTGTACAGCTGCTCAAGCTGGGTACCATGAGCAGTGCAGACACAGGATCTCAAGGGACAAGACAATATCTTTTGTCACTCAGAATCCTATTGCAGACTCTGCATACACTGATGCTTCAAGGAGCGGAGTCAGGAACTGTGGGATAGGTGTCCAGAGGGCAGTGCAACTACCATAGCTACCAGAGTAGAGTGCTGTGTGTGTGGGGTTGCAGGGCAGGACTGAAACAGGATAGTCTGTGTGACTGCACTGCACCATTGCTCTTTCCACTAGGGCAATCCACTGATTTGATTAGCAGTGGTGCATTTCTCTAGTTTTGTACTTCTCCTTCAAAGTCAGGCTGGACAGGTTTGTCAATTTGGTACCTTTCATGAATGCTAAAAATAATTCAGGTTATAACCCAGGCAGGGCACAGAATTTTGCTGATATATTGAGAGTCACTTGCAGAACATTGTAGCTTTCACATGTATTTTTCATGTCTCCAGGAATTGTAAAAGTTATATCTCACTGCAATAGGGTGAGTTGTTCTATTTTCCTCAGAATTGCCATGAGACTCTTTACTTTGACCATTGTTTTCTAGCTTGCCCCAGAACAATTTTTCATTGTTATAATGTCAGATTTCATTTTTATGCCAGTGAAACAGTTATGACTGTCTTTGAAATCCAACATCTCTGGGTCTTTTCTTGTCTGGCAGGCATTAAATCATTAATGTTTCAAAATCACAGGTCGCTGAATGTTTCATGTTGTTCATGATGAAGCTCCTGGTGATTGTCTCCTTAAATTTACTGAGAAATGCCAATCATTTTCTTCTGGCCTTTGACCTTCAGTTCTATTTCAAACAGGTATCTTGATTGAGTATTTTTTCTTGTAGTTTTATATGTATGAAAAACTGCCTTTTTGTCATTGAAACCTTCCTAGATTGTGGATATTTCTCTCCATTACTGATGAGAACTTTTTACTCATGGTTTATGTCTTTCAGATTAAATTACTGGCATTCTTTATTTGCTGCCTTTTCTAAAGCTGAGTATCCTTACTGCAAAAATAGCCCCAACTATGCTGCTTGTGTTTTTGATACACACAATACACCAATGCATCAGAACTTGTTAATTAGCACTGGTTACCTAACTCAGTGAAGACTGGTTTTTCTAAAGCTTTCTGCCACCTACAGGGCCTCTCTAAAACCCTCATCCAAGTTGCATTTTCAGTCTCTCGCTACTTACTGGTGATATGAACAGTTTCCATACAATTACAATCTTTAGTGGAGCATTGGTTGACTCATTCCAAAATGATGCTCACAAATTATATTAAAGACCATTGCTTGCATTTATGACAGATAATTTAGTCAGCCCACTTATGGTGCTCTGCAGGAGGAAGGGAAGAAATGGATGGATTGCGTCCTAAAGGACAGGGAGCACCCACTATTCATTAGACATCCTCCTCCTGTGAACTGTGCTGAGGGGACTTTCTGACTAAAATGAAATGCATCAGTTCTCAGTCCTGCTTTTTCCACTATTCTCAATCCTGGTTTTTTCAGTATCCTCAAGAGGTTTATCTCCTTTCTACCTCACCAGCCATCATGTCTCCTGCAGGCTTTCTATCCTCACAACCAATTTTTCCTCTCTCCCTACCCATCTCTCTCCCAGGTTAACCCATCTTCTTGCTCAGACCTATCTGGTTTCCTCTTCAGTCTGCAGAAACATTATGCTTCTGGCTGACCACTTTCCCCTGCCTGTTCCCAAGTGAGCCAAGAACAAGCAACAGGGAGGTAGGTTGAGGGTGAATGATGCCCAGGATGAGAGAAGATTGTTAATAAATGGAGGTGGGTCATCTCAGGATTCACTTCATGCAAAAGTCTTGGTCTGCCCAGCCTCCAGAAACCATCCGCCCCTCAAACTGTGGCCTAGGTTGTAATAAACTGCCATGGCTGAAGAGTTCTAAAGGTGACATCCGCTCAACACTGCTCCTATTTGGGCCACAGAATGGTCACTGCAGAGCTGTGTAAGACACTGGCTCCAAAGGTTAAACATGAAGGATAAAATCCTGGCCCTATTGAAATCAAAGGCAAAACCCCTTTTCACTTCAGTGGGGCCCGATTTCACTCCAAACCTCTACAGTGCTCTGCTGACTTAGGGCATGAGAGACTGGATTTGGGAACTGAATCTTGCCTTGTTTGCCTTTCAAAGCACTAACCATAGGGCACTGATGTTCTTCTAATTTATAAGATGTTGTACCAGAGCATGAGTCTGACATGATGTTCTAACACTGGTAGATAGGATATTTAGGCAGCTGGAACTGTTTTGTTTTGCAATTTGTAAAAGCAGCACTAGAGCCAGCCTGACTGTTATTAAAGCACTTACATAGCAGTTGTAAATAGCTTGCTGTTTAGATGCTGAAGAATCAGTACGTAGCCTGGGATTCTTTTATGCTCCTGTAACTGGCTCAGACAAATCTTTGTGATTTCCCCAGAGAACTCCTGTATGCTCATATTGTTCACTCTCATGACCACAACAGTACACCTTGTATCCTTAGAGCAATTTGCTTTGAATGTAAGCACTGGCTTTGCTGCTGTTGCTTAGATAATTCTGTTGCTTTCTCATGAAAGAAAAATTGGGAAGTAGGGCAGGGTTCAGAGAAACTCATCTGACATTGCAACTTATATCCATAGAGATAGGCTAATAGTATACGAAGATGTCTAATTCTAATTCTTCTCCTGGTGAACAGCTCCGTGTAAGAGCGAAAGCTTGTCTCTCTCACTAACAGAAGTTGGTCCAACAAAAGCTATTACCTCATCCACCTTGTCTCTCTAACCATCTTCTGGCCATTTTTCTTGCTAGGTCATTAGTAGCTTTTAAAAGGAATGTAAATGTGTCAGACCCATGTATCTGATTATGAGTTTTGAGTGGAGAAATTTGTGTGGATCTTTGTGAAACTGGATTTTTGACTGCTTCCATATTTTTATAAAAAATGTATTTGAGCATATAGTAGTATTTGACTACATAGCCTATAAGTATTAAATTTTCTGAAGACCTACTTTAGCAACTAGAAATAACAACATACTATAGAAACCAATTGTGTGTGTGTGTGTGTGTGTGTGTGTGCGTGTGTGTGTGTGTGTTGTGTTTGGCATGTGTGTATATTGTAGTGTATGGGAACTGGGTAGTGTCTTTTTAAATGGTTGTGAACTCTCTAGTGGCACTCTTTGGCTCTATGTTTAGAAATCTTGCAGAGCAGTAATTTGAACAGGTCGCTAGGTCTTAACATGTTATGTACATAGTTAACAAATACCCATAGTTATATGGACCTCACTGTGCCCATGTGGTTCCTTCGTATTATTATTTCCATTGCGTAAAGAGCAAGAGACACAGCCTGTTATTTCCGCACAGCCACACAAGGTACTTTGTTAGAAGAAAGTGGAGTGGGTGTTAGCTATAGTGAGTGTGAAGACTCAACCGCATATTTTTAAACCTATTTGGGGCACACACCACTCCTTGTAGCCCCCAAAACATTTGAAAGCCTAGAAGTGGACAGTTAAGGTCTCTGATCAGTCCCCCACCATTAGGTAGTAACCACAGCTTGCTGTCACAATAAGCAATTTCTATTGTTCCATCCATAATCAAGAACACACACAAATATACAGATCCTGCACATCAAACTGAGTATTTGATTAACAAATTAACAATTTGGAAACTACATTATGAGATCAATAAAAATGGTAACTGCCCTGGAATCACCATTAATTGCCATTTAGGATAGTTTCTTAGTTATGAGACTTATCATGAGCTGCCCATCTACATTGACTCCATAACAAAGAGATGACAGTGTGGTTCTGGGTATAAACAGTAGGTGGTGAACAATAATGAAGGGATTAACCCTTCAGCAAGACCTTTGTATTTAATCACTTACAAAAATAATGCTTTTTTCTTACAGCTCCATTTTTTTTCTGGAAAGATTTCCCGTCTTTCCCCTCTAAGAAATGCTGCCAGATGAGAATGCAGAAATAAAACATGTGATGAAAATTTGATTTTCAAATGCAGGTCACAGATTGTGCCTGGTTCTGCAGGACTTTGTTCTGGAAAATGACTGCTGTTTCTCTTGAGGGGAACAACTTCAGGGGTCATGTAAGAGTATGGACAAGCTGTTCAGGTAAAACAACCATCCTCAACCTTTGCTTCAAACTCAAACAAAACCTGACTGGAACAATTCTGGTGATCTGTGAATGAGTTTGCTTACATGGTTTAAAAAACTTTTGGTGAAGTCCTGCCTCCATTGACGTCAGTAGCAAAATTCCCACTGCTTTCAATGGAACTAGGATTTCACACATTATTTTTCGTTTTTGTATTCCTCTGCACTTTTTAGTTCAAGTCAGAACCCAAAGTACAGGCAGTAGGTTATCCCAATAGTCTTCTAAATGACATTTCCAGTTTAGCTGAAAGCAGGAATAAGTGGTAATCTCATGAGACAGTACGCTGAGTGATTTCAAACCCAGCTTTTTAAAAAAACTTTAAGATCAGCATCTAAACATTTAGGCTTTTACCTGAATTGAAGTTTTGATTTCCCTTCCCCTATATTTTGGATGTAGGAACCTAACTTTAGGCATCCAGGTTGGAAATTTTGGCTGCAGACTTCGGGTCAGTCAGTGTTTTGGGGATGTGCAGACTGTCTCACCTGTGTGTTTCTTGCTGTTACTAGAGAATCTCTCTAGCCAACCACTAGTCTTCACAATAGTATACTTGTGAAAAATCATCTTTAACTAGAAGCAGCTATTAGTATTCTTGCAAGTAGTCAAAATTACTTTATGTACTATAACAGTATAATATCATCCTACATAAAGCAACTTGGGAGTGTCCATTCATGCTGCTTTATGGTGTATAAAGGTGATATGGAAGGTCCCCTCCCTCAAAAAAGATCTGACAAGGCTTTTTGGTTTTGTTTTGTTTTTCACTTTAGAAATATTGGGAATATCAAGCACTTTTTTTTGGCTGGAGGGCTCTTTGGACAATGCCAAAGAACTACACCTGTAGAAAGAGTATATAAAATGCTACTGGATCAGAACATTTCAGAACTGGTAGAATTTTACACCCACGGGGCACTAACTGACTCAAATCCTCAACTCCATTGACTGCAATTGAGCTATGTCAATTTACACCAGGGAGAATCTGACCAATTATACACAGGTATAAATTAGAACACAAGGTGGTGGAGAATGGGGTATAATACTTTTAGATCCTTCCAATTCCTATTAGTGTGGTGAATCAAAGGGTTATTCCTGACCCTATGTCTCACATATCAGCACTTCGCCATACTTGCTAGACGTTCTATGCTGCTAACTTCTAATTTTTCACATCTTTTTTGTTTCTTCTTGAAGAGTAGTCTTTGTGTTGGCTGTTCACGATTTTGTAAATAATGTGACAAAGAGCTGTGATAAGTAAATTCACTGTTGCATTTAAAGAAAGAAAGAAAAAGGAAGAACCATACATTAATAAAGCACAGTAGGAAGAGGGAAGGCGGAAAAAGCCAACACCAAAAGCCAAGAAACATCTGAAAGAGAATGGGAAACATTTGAAGTACTAAAGATTAGACAACTAACATTGTATTGTTTGTGAAGATATTTCATTTGGTATTTATGGATAAAGCTTAAAGAACTTGTCATCTGTTTCACCATGTTGGAGGGTTTAGACATGTCAGATAGAAGGGAAAACAGAAACGGAAAGAGTGAGCGGTTTTAGAAAATGTACACTAATTAATTCCTTTCTGTTGCTTTTTTTGAGCACTGGTTAGAGTCCCTCCCTCCTTTTGCATGTTATCAAATGCTACTGAAGCACTACTACGCCTTCAGTGGGTCACGAACAAAGGATTAACCACCTAAATAAGCCCTTGATCCAGTGGCCAGCTGAGACTGTTTACTACCTTTCTAGGACTAGGTTCTAGGGCTCTTTATGCTAGGGCATTTAGATGGAGGGCGTGATTTTAATTTTACTTTCTACCAAGTGATCAAGAGATTACTTATGGGAAGCATTTCACACTGAGCAAATAAATATTGGAGAGCTTGGCTGCACATTTTCTAACCCTTGACCAACCTGTTTTCACTTTCAAAGGTCATTTTTAAGTAGTTCTTTTTCTATTTAATCCTCAGAATATGTGAGAAACTGAAATGATGGAAAGCTGATTAAGAATCAAAGAAGATCTGCTGAGGAAAAATATTTTAGTCCTGTGTTTTTATTAGCTTCCTAATGCATAAAGACACCTGACAGGGTTTTTGTGTGTGTGTGTTCTTATTTTATTTGTTTGTTTTTCCTGCATTTTTTTACATTAGACATTCAAGTTTTGAATGCCCTGTTTTTCCTCGTAGACTTTATGAATGATTGAAGAACTGGTAGTCTTATGACATCATTTTAGCCAATAAACTTAAATGAATGAGATGGGAAATTATATTTATTCAGACTGTTTAAAAATAGGGGGATTTACTGTTTGTTTGCTTCTATTAATCTCTATTTAACTTAGGTAAGGGCTGAGAAAGCTCCCAGTCCACTCTTCTGAGTCCTCCAAAGAGACTTCTAGCAAAAGGAAGTTTTTTGGATCTTGTTAAAAAACCAGCAGAGAAAAAAAAATGTTAATCACCTCCACTGAAAAAAAATGTACCCTCAGCCTCTCTCTTTTTGTTACACAGTATAATAAATTAAAACGGGCTTCACCCAAATTTTTATTTCTTGGTAAATCACTTTTTAAATATAAGAATCAGAAAATAATAGCAATAAAAAGAGAGTAAGAATAATGATACAGGAGCTATTAAAAAGTGAAAAAGATATGGGATGATGTATAATGGGATGGTTGATGGGATTCATTCATTCTATGATTCTATGAGTTCATGTAGCTATAAAATACCAATTACCCTTGCATATAAAAGCCATTATTGATGTAGTGATGTGAAGACCTCTGAGGTAGGAGATAGGTGGAAACCACTAACTCATTTCACATAGGCCAGTGAAAGGCTGTATCCTTCCTATGATGTTCATAAAGAACTTCTGTTAATGTCAATGAAACTTTAATCTGCAGAATGAGGCTAAAACATGACCCATAGTCACCATCTGGCTAAATGGGATTTTAATTGGTAATTTAAGGCCTTGTCCACACAGTGAATGTTACTGTGCCACTAACTGGTTATGCCTGGTTAGTGAATACACAATTCATGCCCATACAGCACACAATTAACAACTGGTTCATACCCAGTGCTGTGCCATTGCATATTTCTGCCATGAATAATTCTCAGAGGAGTAAAGCTTTTTTTTTCTCCAGAATTTCAGAGTTAATATTTGTTTCTCTGTGTTCTATGGAAATCTTTTCACTGTGAACTATATTATAATAGGTGAAAATTGTGCATTTTTCACAGTTCCCATGAGAGATGGTGTTCTGTTACAATATTTTTTCTGTAATTCTCTTGATAGACTACTACCATAGTGATTTTCTAAGATTAGGTGTCCTGGGTGTTTTGCAGAATCATTCCTGCAACTAGGAAGTCTCAGAAAAGCTGCCTGCACATGCTCCATTTGCACTCAACATGATCTTTTCTGTTTTTAAGGTAAATCAGTGAACAAGAGCTATATTTTTTGTATGTGAGATATGTGTTCCTTTTTCTAGTGCGATTTGAAATCTCCTCCAGGATAATTTGGGGCTGAAACTTCTTTTGCTTTCTTAAACCATTTAATCTGGTTCAGTGCAACTCCAAAAACTTCAGTTGAGTTACTGCTGATGAGAGCTAGTCAAATTGCTTGTTGCAAATAACATTCATTGTAAATTCAACCATCCTTTCTGTTTGTGAATCATTGACAAAACTGGCATTTTTCTGTTAATGGCATTTGTATTTGTAGTCACTTGCCAAGTAGACAGAAATTTGTTCACAAGCTATCAGATTTGATCACCATAAGGTATATTATCATTATTGTTATTTATTAATTTGTTAATTATATTCATTCCAGTAATGCCTCGGTGCTCTGCTCAGGAGAGTTGACTCACTATGCTGGGCACTGTAGAAACACAGAATACAGACAATCCCTTCCCTGAAGAATTTACTATCTAAATGACTAGACAGACAACAAATAAGTAATTGGTCTCTGACCTCTGTCTGGACACTCCTTTTCATGAAAGCGGCCGGAAGAAGTAAATGGAACAGAAAACAGAAAGATATTAAACACTCCTTTGATATATCAGCACTGAAGCTGGCAGTGCCTGTTTGTTGAAGGAGGTGTAGGCTGTTAAAAAAAAATCTAACTGCAATATCTTGGTAACTTATTACTGAAATCATTAACTATATAAGTGAGATGATGGACATTATGGGATGGTAATGTTCTTGACCGAACATATTGCTTAATTATCACCTTCTGATATTTCCTCATAGTCATGTTCATAATGATCAAATGCTAGTACAAGTGAATATGAAATGAATTCATAAGGAGTGAACATTTGAGAAATAATGTTACTCAGTAAAATATAAGATTAAATGTCAGCTCTTTATTACTGGCTCTCTAGTCAAAAAACAGCCTGTGGTTATCTGAGGTAAAAACAGCTGCTTTACCACTTGAACTGCAGTGAAGAGAATTTTCATGATCTATTAGCAATAGTAGCGCTTATCCTCTTTCCTAGCCTTCAGCTGCTAGAGGGTGAGATAATTACCGTCACTCGGCTTCAATCTCCACATGGTCAGACCAGTTTTATGCTGAATCAGGCCAATTGACTGAACTATTTTCTTTACTATAATATAAACAAAAGGGCTAGTTCCTCAACTGGTGTAGCTACATTGATTTTAGTGAGGTACACCAATCTATACCAGTTGAGGATTTGATCGAAGAGCCTGCTTCTCCACAGTCTTACACTTTGGGTATTCATTTACACTGGTGTAAAATGGCTGTAAAACAGTACAGTAGCATTTTACACCTACTTTGCACTCCCTACTGACTTAAGCTAAATCGGTATACACCTCATTCAAACCAAATAAGAAAGTCCAGTGAATAGGGTTACCTGCACCAGTTTAACTAAGGGCAAGTCTACACTTAAAACGTGAAGATGCTCCTACATCACTGGGAGAGCTTCTCCCATCGGCGTAGTTTATCCATCCCTGTGAGAACCAATAGCTATGTCGACAGGAGAAG